GACAGATGTTCAGTTATCAGTTACGTGACTTATGTCGCGAGATCAGACCGGTATCACATATCAGTTTCAGTTTCAGTTTCAGTTCAGTTATATATGCTAATATCATGATATTGTTATTATGTTCAATGTTTGCATTAGTATGAGTTTCTGTGGAGCACAAGTGTTTTAGTTCTCACGCCCCCACGCATTTCATGTTTTTCAGGCCGCAGGGTCGGGGACGAGGAGTGAGCTGACGGGCAATTCAGGATATTTGTGAATATATGTATATATGTTTTGCCACGCAGTTTTTTCCGCTAAAACTATCAGTACTTCTTTTCAGCTTTTGTTCCGACGTTAGTCGGATAAGACATTATAACCGTTTTTATTTATCAGTTTAAAAAATTTTAACGGTTTTCAGAAAAATCAAGTCTTTCATGGTAGCATCCCGAATCATTTTTCGCAAAAATTAATGTTTTACTTTATTATTCAGAAAATATTGCGAAAAATGTGTACTCTGATAGTATTAAAAAGTCGGGATGTTACACCAACACCCCTTTATATACTAAAACCGAGAGGAAAAAAATGGTGACATAGGGACTTTGTGGTTCATCTAGCACATGACACTTGGAAGCTAAGGAAGCACCTTTTATGCTAACTCATCAACTTTGCTTCCACCTCATGCTTGGACTTAAGGAAGATTTCCCTCACTTGAAGTAATGAATAAAATAGCCACAACACTTAGCAAGAAATGGGAAAGAATTTGATTAAAGGCTACGGCTTTTGCTCCTTTAAACGTGATTAATTGTTAATTAATAACTAAATTATGCCTAATTAATTATTAGGCATAATATTTAATTACCAAAATTATTCCGATCGTAAACGGAACGTCGAAAATAATTTCGGGTAATCTCGACTGAAAATAATTAATTCCGAAAATAATAATCGACAACGCAATTATATCGGAACTAAAACATGATTAACATGACGGGATATTCTTGACTATATAATTTATTAATTCCGGACAAGTAAACGAATCGAAATTAAATTGGAAAACATATTCGGTTACTGAAATAATTAAACCGAATAATATATCGACTAATAGTCGGATTCGGAATATAATTAGCTGATTAACCTGAACTTGAACATGAACATGATTATTTATTAAGAAAGGCTAGCTTAAAATTAAAAGCTAGTTTTTTCTTTTATTAATAAAACTCGGGGTGTTACAAATGCTGTGCATGTTGTTTGACGTTCCTAACAGAACCCAACACCCAAGGTCCAAAAGATATGCTTCTGAGCACGCCTGCCAACAATGGTGAGCCGTCTCCACTGTCGACTATCCCGAGTAGTGGCTGTCACCCTACAAGGATGGACAGCTCCACCAGGGCAATAATTCTTCAAGAGGTATTGGGCTCAAAGGGATTTGCCCTCCCTAAGGCGCCACCACATCCTGTAGGAAAACGCAGTAACAATATTATAGAAACGCCGAATCCCGAGCCCACCCTCAGAATGGGGACGACATATGGAGTCCCACTTCACCCAGTGAGCTTGTCGCCATCCCTGCGAGTCCTCGCTATGGCTCCAAAAATAGCGGGCTAAGATCTGATCTAACTCATGAATC